AATATAATTAGAATAATTCTCATGGGACACATAGTCTCTGGGGAAAATATGATTTGTAATCATGTAATACAGATGTTGCTACGGTATCTTTTGATAATCCAATTGCTTATATAGATTTGAATTGCCATACTTCTAAATTTAACAGTAATTTGTATCCACAACACACACACACACACACACACACACACACGCACACACACACGCACTACCCTTTGGTCAATACAGATGCTCTCCACTCCCAGATCTGGTTGGGCCTGCACTGACTAGAAGGGACCATTCTGACTCAGTGTCTGCAGGAAGTCTACGACCTTCTGATGCCGTTGGCTTTCAAGTTTTCACTTTATTTTGCGGAGTCATATTCTGTGGCAGTTTTTATTTTTAAATAAAGGGGATATGAAGCAGGTAAGATTGCTTTAACTGTGCCCATAGAGTTTCAGCAGCTGCAGAAGCCTCTGTAATGTAGCAAATGGGAAGTGGGTGCTGTGGCTTGCATGCATGAGAACAAGCACACGTTCTCTCTGGGACACCCCGCGGAAAGACTGAGCTGTAGACATCAAGAGGACATGGTTTCAATCTCTGATTTCCTACCTATTAACATGTCACCTTACCTCTTTTGTAAAGGGACAGTACCTGCTTTGATTCTCTTATAGGATTGATAATGAAGGTCAAATGATGTATCGGACTTGAAAGTGCTTTGAAAGCAAAAATTATGCAGGTATGGGTAGTTTTCCTCTCTTTCTAATAATAGGAATAATTAAAAAGTGTATTCCCTGGAACATAGCATCATATGGAAGCTTCAGAGGGGGCATGGTACCTTCTCCAAGAAGTCTCTTCATCTTCACTCTGGGAATGTTGAGTGGCAACAGCATTCCTGAGATTGTCTCCATCTGGTATTAACATCATAAATAGTCACTTTTGAGCCAATAATCTGGTTGTTTTTTAATAAAGGAAATCTCCTTGGATCATACGTTTTCAGTCTACTATACTGAACTTGTATTTCATGGATTTGTAGAATGGGTAAGTGTATCTGAATGAACCCATTCTATACATGTCCTCATTAGTTCTTCATATTATTTTAGCACTTTGGAATAATGGCAAATCTTGGTTCACCTTGAAAACTAGAATTTTTTTATGTGGTTCTTGGTATATGTGAAGAGTTTTTAGAGTTTACCATATATTTTAGACATATAGAAGTACTTCAGTAGAAGTATCAGGTAGTTATTAACTGGGTGGTTATTAAACTAATTGAAATTATTTATGCTCTGACTCCTCTACTCAAGAACCAACTCAGAGCTTTGGTATACTGAAAACAGAACCTAAAACTTGTAACAAAGAAAGGATGTCAAATCTGATGGCACCAGCAGATGGTGCTCATGGTCACATTATCCCTTCAGTTCCGGTCCATTTCATTGTCTGGCTCATTTGTCTGTGCTTAGTTTTGAATTATCTTTTTTTTTTTTTTTTTTTTTTTTTTTAACATTTATTCATTTTTGGAAGACAGGGAGAGAGACAGACCATGAGTGGCGAGGGCAGAGAGAGAGAGGGAGACACAGAATCTGAAGCAGGCTCCATGCTCCAAGCTGTCAGCACAAAGCCTGATGTGAGGCTCGAACTCAGGAACTATGAGATCATGGCCTGAGCTGAAGTTGGACGCTCAGCCGACTGAGCCACCCAGGTGCTCCCAATTTTGAACTATCTTAAGAGTATTAATAACCCCATCATTTCTGATAAGTGCAAAAGCAGTGAGAATGTTGAAATGCTGGTGTCGGGGAAGGATTTCCTCTGCCCTTCGAGGTCCTTCTGGCCAGAATAAGAATCAGAGTGACACGAGACAGACTAACAGGAGAAAATCAAATTTAATTTCCTATGTATGAGAAACCCACACAGATGTGGAAATTCTGAAGACAGTCAAGCAAAATGTGGTGTATATATCATTCTGAAAGGGGCTCTAGGGGTCTGGGACTTCCTGCAATTCACAGGATGATAAAAAAGAGTAAATGTTTGGTAAAAACAAATGTTTTCTGGGCCACTCAGAAAGAATGAGACACAGAGGACATTGATCAAACAGGCTCTGCTAGATTCCTCTCTCTCTGCTATACCTAGTTCATAGTGTCATGGAGTTATCTCTAGTGACAGCCCTCTTCCTAGAGCAAGACCTCTATCTAAATTCTTTTAAGTAGTTGAGGTGGGAAGGTAACGAGCTTTTCCTGAATCTGCTGGGCTTTGATTGCTTTTAACTCAAAAATTACCTTCATGCCAATGTAGTCCATCTTGGGGTGGTCTGCCCTTGGTGGTAGATAGATAATATAGGAAAAAAGAATAAAAAAAGCAAGTGGTAAGGAAACAATGCTGTATGTGCGTATAAGATGAATCATTCAATTGAGCAAATAATTCTAAGGGACAAAGAATAACTCACACAGTGTGCTTCAAGTGCCATGCAGATGATAGTAATTGGCAAGTGATGGGGGAAAAAGGTTTGACAAAGTAGAATATATGTTAGAAGAGACCTGTCCAAGCCCTGTTAGCCTGAAGCTAATTCAGGAAACAACTGAGAGTCTGCAAGCTTAAAGGCTGAGGGTGGATGAGTGCTGGTGACAAATCCCCAGTCCAAAGCTCTGCTGGCTGCCTAGGTCCAGGTCCTGCCACAGACTAGTGGCTGGTTCCGTAGCTAGAACCTGAGTACAGGGCTTGAGCAGACAAGGGAGGGTGGTTACCAGTCTCCTAATTTTCTTTTTCTTTAAAGTTTTTTTCTTCAATTTATTTATTTATTTTGAAAGAGAGAGAGAGAGCCTGAGTGGGGGAAGGACAGAGAGAGAATCCCAAGCAGGCTCTGCACTGTCAATGCATAGCCTGACACAGGGCTCAAACCCACAAAACATGAGATCATGACCTGAGCCAAAGTTGGATGCTTTACTGACTGAGCTACCCAGGTGCCCCCCTCCTAATTTTCAACATAGAAGAAACTGATCCTTTTTGCAAAATGATGTCCCACAGATCTTATATCATTAAATAAAGGGAGAGTGGGCCTGTTTTTAAAGCTCACATTCCTTATGGTGGAAATTTATTCAGAGACTACAAATTCAAGTTCTTCAAAGTCATGTTGGACTTTTGAAGAGACATGTATAAAATCTGTTGGAACAGTTCTAACCTGTTCACAGATAGGGAACTGGCTACTGTACTATTCTGTTTTAGATGCAGAGCAGTTATGTATCCTTTTATAATATTAAAATAAAAATGAGATAGAATATGGTAGGTAGCAATTGTGAAACCTATAGGAGTCATTATTTCGCCAAGTAATAAGCATAAAGAAACCTTTTGACCTACAACTCATTTCCTATCATTGCAATGTTGACATAGTGGGAAAAGTATAAACTCTGGCACTACCCAGCTGTATGATGCCAGAAAGCTGTACAACTCCTCTGAGATTCAGTTTCTTCCTCTGATAGTTGGGTATTGTGTTGCCCATACATCATAGGTGTTTGAGGAATAAAAATAATACTAAGTTACTAACACAGTGCCTGGTCATAATGCGCCTTTAATGACTAGTAGCCTTCAGTGGAATTAGCATTAATAGCACTCTCCATGACTAGTAAAAAATCTCAACAGAGGGCTTGAAGAGTGCCACTACCAATTGCCATGGCCAGTTTTATTAACTAAAATAGACTAAACTTTTATAACAAATAGACCAACAAAGCCATAGGCAAAACACAACAGGAGTTCATCTTTCTCGCTTAGAACTTCAAAGAATGGTTCTGGTTCAGGAGGCCCAGGTCCACAGAGTCACTCAGGGACTGAAGGTGTAGTAGTATGACTGTGATCACCATTTCAGCCCAAAGGAAGGGGGAAGTGGGAAGTGGAAAGGAACGTGTGAAGGAGGTTTTAAGGGCTTGAATAGGAGTGGCAAATACCAGGTATCACAAATTGGAAATAACTTATTCCCATGGGCACACCTAACTGCTAGGGCAGCTGGGAAAAGCAATGTAGCTACTGTGAGATAAAGGATAAAACTGAGGTAGTCACACTGGTTTATTACATGACATGGTAATGACCCTAAAGTATCTTGTGCTCCACACTGAATCTCAGTACCAACCTTTTTCTGAAAATTTACTGACAATTTCTGATCGATACCAAAATTCAGGAGTGAGTCCTCAGGCACAGGGCACATAAATCATGGTGATATGGGTTGTGAGAGGCTCATGTGACTTTTCATACTGGGACTTGGCCCAGACTCTGCATCAGGCCGGGGACAGGGGGACAGGGGCCTGTGTAACTGACCTGGCCTTAAGAGACACTCCGTGTGATATGCCAGCTCAGTCACAATGCCAGAGCAGTTGGCATGTGGCAGGCAGGAGTGACACCAGGGAATCTGGGCAATGGATCTGGGAACCCCATTGGCAGGAGTTGCCTCTTGGGAAATCCATCCAGAGCAGCATAAAGCCAGATACTGGGCTGGGTAACAGGGGTGGGAGAGGTGGGGAGGGGAGGAGAGTGATCAGACAGAGAAAGTGGCCAGGGCTCCCAAGCCCCAAACTGATATTCTAGTCATGCCTCCAGTCCTATACAGGGAGCAAGGCATATGCAGTTAAATGGCAGAGACGAAGCATTTCTCTGGTCTGAACTAAAACAGGGGATAACATAGAGCAGGGATTAAGAGAAGAAGATAATTTAAATTAAGGAGTAATGGTGATGTCTAGAAGTCATTCTGGGGCCCTGGGGCCAGCTGGGAACAAAAAAGAGAAACCCACTTGTCACGACCAAAACACCAGCTCCAGGGTCTTGAGCAATAATCCCCTACTGAGTAGGGAGGCTGAGGTCTCCCATACCTACTGCCTCAGTCATTATGGACTCAGGTACTTTGGTGGTGGAAAGCTTTGGTACATACGTCTATGGGAGTGGGGCAGGTTAGGGAACATTGAAACAAGGGAAGCATTAACAGATTATCTACTGAAACTGCACTGTAGTTCTAAATGGTATAAAAACATGTTTCATTTAATTTTTAGTCATTCTCCAGTTCCTCAAGAAATATTCAACAAATGTTGGCAGATTCTATCAATCGTATGAAGGCATATGGATTTCACCAGGTAAAGACTTACATTCTGTCTTCAGGGGGCTAAATGCATAGCCATGTCCACTAATGTTTCACAAATGGATATACTAGTCTCATGCAGAAATGAAAGCAGCAAAATGTGAAATCTGTCTTAAAAAGCTTGTGAGCATAGCTATTCATCTTTACCTGTTTATCTGGAGGTTGGAAAAGTCTTGAGTATCATGGAAAGAACAGATGCCAAGAAATATCTGCTAAACTCCTCATGGAAGATCTAAAACAGAGACAACACCAGAGAGCGATAAATGAAGCATTTAACTTGGCAGAAATAGTGAATTCAGATTAAGTTCCTAATGTGTTCATTGGTTCTGTGAACCTGTCCCTTCAGGATGAGCAGCCTCTTGTGCCGTCCATGCCCACTGTGCCAGGAGCTCCTTTGGGCACTCAGACCTCTCACACATCCACTCAGTTGTGGGATTCTTCCTACAGGCCAAGCCTGTTTCCTCCATCATGCTATATTGTCATTGTATCATACATTCTTCACAATAAATGGGGCATAGGCTGGCAGTTGGAAACCATGGTAGGATTTGACCCGCAGTAAGTTTGAAAACATAGCATAAGATAGGAGGCTGTAAAGAGAAGGTTCTGAGTGACCACAGGCCTGAGATGGGGTCATGGTGAAGGCCCACATTCTAGTAGACTCTAGCAGATCTAGTAGGTCTCTAGTAGAAGTCAATTCCCTGACTGGTCTGCAGGGACATGCATGAACTGAGATAGCTCCTGTGGAGACTTCGAGAAGCCATGAACTTTTGTGGTATAGTCCTGGTGTGCATACTGCTGATATAATATAGGCCATTCCAGAGCATCTAAAGGAAAATTTCAGTTGCACTACCCAGATTACATTGCTTCATTTCAAATGATAGCGAGAAAGACAAAGGGTCTGTGTATTTATTCAACCAATTTCTGCTGAGTTTCTCCTCTGTGGTAGGCACTGTTACAGGCGTTGGAAACACAGTGAAAAAATAGATAAAATCCCTACCCTCAGGAAGCTTATATTCTGGATGTGGAGACAGACAACAAACACATCTATGAAGTCAGATGGTCGAAAGTTCTATGGGGGAAAATGATGCAGGATAAGGGAGGTGAGGAAGGCTGGGAGGGTGGGAATTGGTTTTTTATAGAGATGGTCAGAGAAGGCTACTCTGTAAAGGTGCTATTGGTGGATACCTGAAGGAATGAGGAAAGGGGCCATGTGGATGACTGGGGTAAAGTATGTTCCCAGCAGAGGGAACAGCAAGTATAAAAGCACAAAGGCAAGAGCTCGCTTGACATGGTCAAAGAGATCAGTGCTGAGAAATCATGTAGACCCTTGTAAGGAATTTGGTATCTTGGTGTTATTTCAAGCCACGATGAAAGATGAGATCATCTAGAGAGTGAGTTTAGATGGAAAAGAGAAGTGGTCTGAGGTCTAAGGTACATCAGTGTTTAGACTGGGCCTGAAATATCTTGTCTCCAAAATAAGGGAAATGGACTAGATCAGTGGTTCTCAAACATTTTAAGATGTAAGTTATTCGTTTTCACACCCTCTCAGGAGAACACCTAGAGCCATAGGCCGATACATCCCCTCTCTAACTTAAGAAATTATATGGGAATTCAAGAGAGTGAATGAGCAGAAAGATCACTTACCAAGCTTCTCTGTAAAACAAAGGTAATAAAACAGAGCCTTCCCACTTTAAAGGCAATGGAGAGGCTCTCTGAGGAAACTTGTGGAGAGTATTTCCATTAACAGGCTGGGATGAGAGACTTTCTGTGGGAGACGTTTTGACATCAAACTGCCTGTCCTCATGTTTAAACCTCAGCCCGTGGGCATATGGACCAGTGTTCAGCCTCAGCCCTGCTATTCCTTCACTCCTCAGCCTCTATCTTGATTTTCCCATGCTTGGCTCACCATCCCCATCCTGGGCCTACATGTTTCCAGCAAACACTTCTAAAAAGGAAATGATAGGTTGGCTTGGTTTTCTAAATAGATGAAGTAGGAAGTAAGGATCAACTTGTAACTGTTAGGCACCCCTAACAGTCATTTAAAACACCAGAAGCTGCTTTTTGTCTGTTTGTTTTAGTTTTTATAATATTGGCAAACTGCAGAGGCTTAGCTCTAGGCAGGAAATGAAAGTAAGAAAAAAAGTGAAAATAATAAATACACAGAAGTTTTGTTACATCTTGGGGTGCCTGGTTGACTCAATCAATTAAGCATCTGACTCAATTTTGCTCAGGTCATGATCTCACTGTTTCTGGGATCAAGCCCCATATGGGGCTCTGCACTGACAGTGTGGAACCTGCTTAGGATTCTTTCTCTCCCCCTGTCCCTCTCCTGTTTGCTTGCACAGACACACTCTCGAAAGAAAGAAAGAAAGAAAGAAAGAAAGAAAGAAAGAAAGAAAGAA